AGTTGCTTTGAGCAAGCATCCTATGAGCTTCTGGCCCTACAGCAGAAGCATCTGCTTAGGCTTCATCAAAAGTCCCTCAATAGATTCTTACTGACCCGACTTGGGCCACATGCCATCCACAAGCAAGGCAGTGCTCCTAGAGCAAATGTGCTTTGAATTGGCCCTACCTGGGTCACGTGTCTGTCCGTTCAGCTCAGTATGTACAGTTCACTCTGCATAGCCAGACATACCAGTTTGATAATGGTGCACTTGGCCCAATCTACTGCCTTCCCCTATTGCCTTTCCCACGGTGACTTCCCATCTCAGAGTAAAAGCCAAAAGGCCAGGTGCCATGTCAATCCATGCTCCATCTCACTCCCTGTGTCCCTGCCATCCTGACTTCTTTAACATTATTTCCCCACTCTAGGCAGCTTCCACTTGAAGGCTTTTATTCATTTTTGTTTTTTCACTTCCTGAATGATCCTCCCCACATAGGGACATGGCTCTTTCTCTCACATCCTTAGAGTCATCGCCAGGCTTCCTCTCATCCACTTATTTGAAATTCAAGATCTCTCTGGGCACATCTTAGCTTCCTTCTTGCCTTTTTTTCCCAGAGCACTTTTCACAACCTAAGAAATTGTATGTTTTATTTATTTATTTCATTCATTCTCTGTGCCATTATCATCCCTACTAAAATGTGAGATTTTTGCAGGCAAGCAATTACTAGGTCAGTAGTATATTCATAGTAGAGTTTTAGTGAACTATTTATTGAATAAATCAATAAATCTGCATGTGAATGAATATAAAACTTTGAAGAACCTTGGGTAAGGTTTAGCTAAATGGGAAATAGTGTGGGTCGGGTACCATGAATAATACTCCCTCTATTACATAACTTTCCTCTTTATATTAGGAACTGCTTAGAAACTCTATTCTAGTTGATACCACTATGAATGTCTTTTTATTCATCACCAAGACAACCACATGTAAGCTGTTTATCATTTCACTCATGATATAGTGTGAATTTCTAACTTCTCAGGCTTAAGACATGGGAAAAGTGATAACACTTTTCTTAAAAAGGGTTACTGACATGATTACGTGAACTGATGCACTTGAAGCTGATTAACACAGCAAAAGCATACCAGAAACGCTTATGGTGATAGATATTTATAACCACTGTTTATATTTGCATTTTAAAAGCATTTGTTATAAGTAGGCTGATCAAAGATATCTATGTACAAAAGTAATATATTTGTTTTTCTTCCCTTGCCTTAGGGAATCATGGACATCGAAGCGTATTTTGAAAGAATTGGTTACAAGAACCCTAGGAACAAGTTGGGCTTGGAAACATTAACTGACATTCTTCAGCACCCTATGGAACAGCTTACCACAGATCTCTGCTGCCCCCATCTGTAGCAATGCCCTGTAAATTACAGACAGAAAAGAACTTCTAAGCCACCATCATAACTTTGACTTCCTGTGACCACACAGAACATAGAAATATCAAGATAAAAATTCCTGAAGAAGGATATTTTGCTTAGGAAGACACTTTAATTGCATACCTTTCTGTGACTTGTAATAACTTCATAGACTCTCTGAA